AAGGTTGGTGTGTTCTGGCAGCTACTGCTAAAGGAGGATGATGATTGCTCATAGAGCTCTTCCTCATGGCATGCCTTTGTGAGAGCTTATCTAGAGGCTCCTTCTTTCCCGTTTTTCTTCTTAAAAGTGTTCCTGTTTAAAAGGTTTACGTTTGGAACTGGGCTGAATTTAGATCCACTGACTCAGTGGTCCCCAACCTTTTTGGCACCAGGGACTGGTGCTCCTATGAGAATCTAATGCACGATGATCTGAGGTGGAGCTGAGGTGGTGATGCTAGTGCTGGGGAGCGGCTGCAAATACAGATGAAGCTTCGCTTGCTTGGTCCAGTTCCTAACGGGCCACGGACCGGTACCGGGGGTTGGGGACCCCTGCACTAACTCACTAATGTCTTCGGTCTTAGGTGTGGAGGGAGCTCTCATAGTCTGTCAAAGCCTGAGAGCCCCAGTTTATCCCCTCTACCTTCGCCTTCCCATGGCTTCTCAGTGGGGACCCCAGAGGCTCCCCCGGTTGTTCTCAGCCACTTGATCTGGGCCATCTTGCCATTGGGGAAGTGGGTGCCAGAGCATTACGAAGGGCCTTGCCCCAGGTGCAAGGAGCATGGATGGCACAGGCTGCTGTGGAACCAGGCTTGTGACCCTCAAGCCAGGCTGGCTCACCACCTGGGACGCTGGCTCTTTAACCTTGGTGCCAAGGACCAACGCCTGATTGCTGGCCCAGAAGGGGTGGATTCCGGTCATTGTGGCTACAAATGCTCTGGGTGAGCACGGGTGGATAGAGAGGGGGCTACTCTGAACGGCCTTGAGGGCCTGCCTGTCCCAGCCCCAACTTTTACAATGTCACTGACTTTCCAGCTGGCCTTGCACGTGTATACGCTACAGCATCAATAGGTTCTCTATGCTAGTTCCAGCTTCCAGGTGTGCGAGGGCCCATCCTTTACCGACATGACAGGATAGAAGTGAGCTCCTTGGGGGAGAAACTGGCCGCATTCCCACCTGGTGGGAGTGGCCTCTTAATTGGTGATTTACTGTTTATTGAACAAGCAGGGCAGGGACTTGGCAAGAAGATGTAGTCTGGAAGAAGGTGGGTGCTTTGAGGTCAGCTCCCCAACCAAGCGAAGGTCAGGCCAGAGACGCACGGGGAGATGAACGGACCTATCTAAAGTGAGGCTCCTGCTTACAGCCCAGCTCTGGGTGGGGAGGCCTGGGCTGAAGCAGCTCTACACACAGACTCTTTGTTCTCTGCAGGGGAGGTCCCTCAATGCTCCTCCTGCCTCCTTTTCTCAACTCGGGAAGCTGACTGGGAGTCAGGAAAGGCTGGCTGTGTGACTTAGGATAAGCCACTTTCCCTCTCTGGGTCCAGGATTCTCTCTTGCAAAGTGAGATTAGACTAGATACATCCTACCCACCCCTGTTCCTCTGTCTTTCTCAATCCACCCCTAACTCTGCTTATGTGAGGCCCTTAGGCAGGAGAGAGGACATGG